GGAAAAGCCCTTTAGTTATTTATAAATATAAGATACCTCTATGAAGCTCTTCAGTTAAACGCTGAAATGTTGAGCACGGAAGCATTGCTCCTGAAAGATGTAATCTCAAGTAAATCCTCTCGGGAAACTTGATTAGACTGTTACTCAATGTTGTAAATCCACTTAAAAGTTCGACCAAAGTGCCCTCAGCTCAAACTAAAATCATTACGCCTCTTAAAAACCTGATGCAGCAATCTCAGACTTCCTCTCGCTGTACATTTTACAACGGCGATTTATTTCAGTTTATTCCAATGATAGTATTGCACGGCTCAAACGAAATTGTCATTTGAGATGCGTTGGTTAGAATCGCAGAAAACATTCTGGTAGAATTGATTTTTATAATGTAGAAAGTTGTTTATATTTTGCAAAAAAGAGCCTATTTTCCTGACTCAATGATACGAGTAAAATCACCTTATCAGCATGGAACAACTAACGACACATATCGACGGTGTAAGTCGGCAATCACATAACTCGGTTTGCGACGTTGCAGACTTCCTATCATACTTTATTTTTTCAACGGAAAACTACTCAACGACAAGTCTTTAAAACTTTCGTGATTTTTCTTCTCTAAGTGAAGAAAATTCTACAAAAACTTCAAGAAATAATGTCAATTTGCTCTCCTAAAAGAAATATTATAGAGATAGAGATTTTCAGACACCGCAAACGAATTATGTGATTGCCGACTTACATCGTCGATATGCGTTTCACGCCGACCAGCGAACGCACTGTTTTAGACGCAATGCGTGAAGTATTCCTGCACTCTTGTAGGCGCTAATATGCCTCCCGCGCCGACCAGCGACTGCGCTGTTTTAGACGCAATGCGTGAAGTATTCCTGCACTCTTGTAGGCGCTAATATGCCTCCCGCGCCGACCAGCGACCGTACTGTTTTAGACGCTGCAAACGAGTTATGTGATAGCCGACTTACACCGTCGATACGTTGTTTCAAAAAGGAGTCAGAAACAGTGGCTTTGCATGCAGACAGTAGTCCAACTTTATTAACTCATGATGAACTATTATTCACAGGATTTATGTTTGACAACTTTTTCAAAAAAGGAGTTTTATGCACGACAAATATGAAAGTGTAACGTAAAATTAATGAACGCGTCGCTCATTTCCGGTTCCGAAGCGTATTCTTCCCGCTCGTAGCGATCATTAAGAATCTTGGAACCCGAATCTGAAATTCCGTCGAAATATCACTCGCTAGACTGAATGCTTAGGCGTAGACTACAGCGTTGCCATTTTAAAGAGAGTCAGGCTATTTCATTGAAGCGGCTGTGCTAGAGTGAGCGAAATTTGACAACGTCCCGCGTGAATCATTAACAGATCGTCCATAAATCATTGTCAATTTCTAATCGTATATCTCCGAGCTCAGTTCACGTGGTAGGTATGAAGCAGGCTGAGGCACATCCACGGAAATTCGGAAGATGACTGTTACAGGTGTAATGCACACGGACGTAATTAAATTTATAGAAAAGAAGATGAAGATGCATGGAAAAGAAATATATCCAAAAATTAGGTTTGATGTGTCACATCTCACTCAGCGATATAAAAGCACAAAAGTAACGTGTGACACACACTGAGAAAAAATTATGGTTATAATTACCATGCATATTAGTGGGTGTTCAATATGAACTCTTAATTAGTAGTTGCCATAACCAATAATAGAGATATTTTTACCATTAAATGGTAATTTTACTACCGTACACTTGTAAAATTACGATTGCTCCAGTAAAAATATCACTGTTATTGGTATGACCACTACTAATTAAGAGTACATATTGAACACCACTAATATGGTAATTATAACCATAGTTTTTTCTCAGTGCATATCACCTAAAGTGTTAAGCGCTTCACGGGAGTTGAACTGCTTAGCAGTCAGGGGGCTGCCTCCCTATAAATAGGTAAATTCTTGCGCATTTCAACAAATCCGTCATGTCGTGCACTTATTACGCTGTAACGTCATTTAAATTGTTGTAAAGGAACACCGGGTACTCATTTAAGTACCATAGAATCAGCTACTGTTTGACCAAGAAAAATACACACATAAGAAAAAAACGCAATAAGGTACCTAGAAACGAACACCTACCGTGCGTTCCTTTCTTTGTCAGGCGTAATTGTTGAGCCGATGTAGCCTAAATATTTCGTGTGGGACGATAAAAAGACCCAGTTTACGCGATCGGACGAGTAAAAAACTTAAATTTTTACAAAATAACTATGATGATACAAGACATTGCAGGATGTTCCTATTACTTTTTCCCATCTTTGTATTTTCCTTCCACGAAAAACCATGTAAAAAGTTGGATTTTTTTCGAAAGGGCTGGATGAAAGAGAAAATTAATAAATCAATCAAGTTCTTCGGTGTTCAAAGTTTAGAAAAAAGGAAGTGAAATGAAATGAAAAGTAAAGAAAGAAAAGGTTTCTCCACGGATCCGTGTAATTTGACTGTCCAATCTTTGACCCTCCCTACGCATCTCAGGCCTCAAAAGTTTGCTCTCGTTTCATCTGTTTTGTTTCCAATATTTAAAATTAAATACTTTTTTTTAAAAAAAAATAAGAAGAGAGGGATGGTATTTTCCGCAAAATTGAGTGTAAACTTTATAACTTCACGATGTTTTAATTTTAAAAGAGATCATTCATTTGAAATGATCATTTTAAATCTGTAGGCGTGAGTTTGCAACCCCTCATTCCTGACTGGAGGGCGCGTTGCGGTTCTCATGAACAGGACACGTCGTAATTCTATCAATTTGGGGGTTAGAAGTCTCTGAGCTCTTATCTGAATTTTTTTTTCAAACAGTGGCGTGGCGTGCTTTACGACATATCGATTGATCTGTCATTTAAACCTATAAAAAATAATCGATGTACAGGGTGTTCGTGACGAACACCTTAATAATTGATTCTTTACTGTAGCTTCAAAGGGGAAATTTCGATAATCGATTGTTCACGCCACGCCACTGGTTTCAAACACTCTGGATAGGTACACACACAACGTAGATTCTGGATAACTTTATTTAATGCTTCTGATGTCAAAGCATGGAGGACGATAATCGTTTTTCTGTGATTCCTTTTTGTAGCGGTATAGAGTTATTCTCTCCAAATTGGACCGCGTTTAGCAAAAATGAACCAAGCCACATCAGATAATGCCAAAATCTGGGCAATTTAAATTTTTACGATAGAATGTTGGTGTAGATTTCTTTGAACATTGCGAAGAATTTGCTTCGTACACCGCAGAAAATTTACGGTTTGCGCTAAAATCCGCTCAACCGTTTTCATGTAAAAATTTAAATTGCCCAATTAAATGTGGCGATACCTGATGTGGCTTGGTTCTTTTCTGCTTATCGCGGTCCAATTTGACTACATTTTGCAATTAAGAACCATAAATGTCGGACCGGTTTAAAAACAACGCATAATTCATTAGTTTCCCTATGTACATAAGTGTTTTTTTAGATAAGCCAGAATTTATAGTTCCAAATTGTAAAATGCAACCCAATTGGGCGTATTTCTGTCAAACGGAACTAAGCGCCAATTTGAGTTCCTTATGAGGTATTTAGAATCCTGGAAAGCGCGTTCTGTCAAACGGAACTAAGCGCCATGGAAAATCATTGCGAGTATAGGAACGAATGAGCTTGGCGGCGCCCGGTTCCGCCGCCAATCCAAGCCCCCCTCTACCTTCCTCCCCCGATGGCGCTTAGTTCCATTTGACAGAAATACGTCCAATTGATGTTGAAATTTTGGTGAGCGAGTTCTTTAATCTCAACGGTGCTCATCTTCTTTGCGGAACTTAAAAACATGCCTACCTAGAAAACAGGTGAGCCGTGAGCGCTTCTCTGATACGAATGTATCAGAGCTTTCCCGCTTGTTTTTGCAATGAATTGCCATTCGAGCGGGAACGAACGGCCTTAAGGTTTCGTCTGAATCGCTCCACTCGAGAGTGTTGTCATTATCGCCGGCAAACTTTCTTACGTCCCGAAGTCGCGGCATATTGATTCCTGTCTAGAACGCGCGGAGTAGAAAACAGACGAGAACATTTGCATAGCCTTTGTGCCGAGCTCCGGCCCGGAGCCCGCATTTACGACATTAAAAGTTGTGATTTGAGTGATGGGACTCTGGCTTGGTTTCACCTCGCTCCGTTTCGGTTCAGTTTCGGTTTCGGATCCGAGCGTTTTCGGGGCCCGTGACAGCTCATTAATGTTCGCCTGGAATTGATTTATTCCCTCGGCTGGTGACGCATCCGCTCGTCTTTTGGCGTGGGTGCGCGCTGTCATGAAGATCCAGCAACGACTCGAACGGGATGGATTATCAAATGGCACGCACGTCACTACCCCGAGTACATATTAAGGAGAGACAAAGACAAAGGTCACAGCCTGGAATTATCTTACTCCGTAGCTTTCGACAAGAGTCCTCGTGAACTGACTTTCATTTTTAGCGTCGTTTTCATTGCCTTTCCTTGAATATCTCATTTCCATAAGGTCTCGATACACGATTAAATTCCCGAACCAATTGCCATCAAAGTGTCGGGAGTCATCGGTCTTAAAATCATTACTTTGCTTCATTTTAAAATGAAAACTTGGCAGAAATGTTTTGTGTAGCAGAAACAGATGAATGGTGGCACACTCCATTCTGATCAAAATTTGACGGCCCATCCAATTTTGATCAAAGAGGACTATTGCATAGTGACCATCAGTCATCAACTCGTCTACTTATTGATCATCAATTTGATCGTGTACTCAGACCTTAAGGTCTGAATACACAATCAAATTCCGAACCAATTCCGATCAAAGTAGACCAGTTGATAGCTGATGATCACTATGCAGTAGTCCTTTTTGATCAAAATTGGACGGGCCGTCAAATTTTGATCAGAATGGAGTGCCACCATTCATCTTTTCCTGCGCCTTTGAATGTCATTGCCAGAAGACTAATTTATCAATAATTTTAAATCCATGCTTCCGTTTTCTGATTCCAGGTTATATTTGGACTCCTGGCCACGTCAGTCCTCGCCGACCGGCCCTCCTCCAGCAGCGACAACAAAGCTGAGGCGGCATCCTCCTCCAGCTCGAAGACCCACGAAAAGCGGACGACCGCCTACAGCGTGTACGGGCCGCCTAGCCAGCACGCACACAATGGACCAACTCCCTCCTACTCTCCGGGCTACGTGAGCAGCTACGCACCCACCTACGCCTCAGGGGTGGACTACTCGGCACCCGCCACCTACGCCATCGCCGCCCCCTACGCCGCGGCAACCCATGGCTCGTACGCTATCGCAGCGCCGTATCCAGCACCCGTAGCCGTTGCTGTCCCCGCCGCTAACTACGCCGCCGTGCCCACAGCCAACTACGCCGCCGTACCCGCACCCAACTACGCAGCCATTGCCCATCCCCTCTTCGTACCCAACAGCGGCGTAGACTCCCACGCCCTCGCCTACCCTGCTGCAACCTACGCAGGCCCCAGCCTCGGTGTCTACCCCGCCATAGGCATCCCCGCCAACTACCCTCCTGCTGGCTACAACTTCCCACCACCCAACTACGTGCCCTACACAGGACCCAACCGCGAGACCTACACCAACGCCGACGGAACTAGAGTAGGCCCAGTGACTTTCGGACCTGGACACGGAGGTGTCTACCACCCACCCTCTTTCGCCTACTCACCTTCCGGCTACGAACCAAGCACCAACTACGAGAAACCCTCCTCCTCGTATGGTCCACCCTCTTACTCTCCTCCATCTCCATCCTACGGGTCACCTTCATTCACCCCCTCTTACTCCTCGTCGTACTCTGGACCGTCATACTCCTCAGGTTCGCCCTCATACTCCTCAGGAAGCGCAACAAGTTTCTCCACCACCCACAACTACACCCCCTCCAGGCCAAGTTCCTCTTATGGACCGCCGTCACCTCCATCTACGTATGGACCCCCTTCACCTAACTCTTACAGCCCCTCGTCTTCGTACGGACCCCCATCTCCTTCCTACAGCTCTCCATCGTCTTCCTATGGACCTCCTTCTCCCTCCTACAGCTCCCCCTCTTCCTCCTACGGACCACCTGGACAATACGCTTCGTCATCGGAAAATACCTACAACACAATTAGGTACAGTGGACCAACTGACTACGCCAAACATTAAATTTAAGTAGGTTAATTTACAACAGTCATGAAGCCTTATCTGCAAAGACAGACACATTGATATTGAATGCAAAATTCGGAAATAACTCGGTCATTTTCAAAACCGAACGAATTTCGTGAGCCGTCCACGTAGCAAATTTGTTTTATTTTTCTTTTTGTAGCCCGATACTTTTTAAGATTTAGTTTTTCGCACTAAAAGGAAGAAGAAAAACATTCTGGTGGTGATCAGTTCAGAACGAGGCCATTTGTTTCCGCGAATCAACAAAAGGTCATCAACCTAATCTTGCATTCGTGAAGCAAATGAGCGCAGAGCACAGCTTATCTAAAGTTATTTGCCATAACGGTAAGATTTTTTGTCGTTTTTATGCGACTGACCATGATTCAGTCTTACAAAATTTAAAGATATGTTTTTGCTCATTTTCCTTTTTTTGGCACGTTCCTTCCGATTGAGTAATGACCCCTCGGCTTAACGAGGAAAGAAAAAAAAAGTGTCATGCATACGACAAAAAAAAACTAAAATATTTTTACTGCATATTTTATCCGTTGCTTCAGGATATACGATAGTAAGGAGGTGACAAAAAAGGATTTCTCTCATTCCTTTCAGCTTAAATGATATACTCACACCCCTCCCTCCTTCCATGTTGACAAAAGAATCTCAAATGTAATTTACAATTTATATAACTTTGAATGAAATTGTGTGCATCCTGGCGCTTCCCAGCTCCTTCAATTTCAGCAAGGCAAAATATCATATACCAGCACAAAATAAAACGTCAATAATTATGTACACGTGTATTACAAAGATGCAGCTAAAATTGCTCAGCTCGTTAGAGAAACAAATATCTGACATAGCATGTAGGTAAGGCTTCATGAAAATGTTTTACAAAAATTATTTTTCATGAGTACCTAAAAATTATTTTCAAAAAAACTATAAGAATCGCCAAAAAAGGCTCAAACTGCCTCCTCAGCTCGTAAGTTCTGTACATTTATAAGTAGGTTAAGCTATTTCTCATTTTTACCTTATCTTGTGATGAACTTTGATAATAGGGAGTTACCTTTTCGTTACCCTGACTTTATACTAGATCGAGCCTAACTCGCCAACCTTATTTATTGTTTCTTTGTTTACATTTATCCGTCCGTTGAATGTTGTAAATATAGTTGTAAACGCATACTTACACCGGTTATAGTATTTTACAGCCCGAAAAAAACAACGTACTTCCGAATATTTTCGGCGGTTACTTTTCCAGCTTGATTCCATTAAAGGAAAGCATTTTACCTTTCATTACACGATAAACCAATATCCGAAGGGTATCTAAAAGGCTGTATAACCATAAATATATTTCTTTATTAACTATTGAAGTTTCAGAAAAGAGCACATCAACCTATGTCTCATTAACATTTTCAAAAAGCTTTGATGGAGAACGTTGCACAATCTGTGCTGTTTAAGAGTGCACCGTGAGTAAATGTTATCGAGTGGTGTCAGAATTTCCCTTTTTTCCCAGCGGAAAATTGCAGTTACATTCATTCTATTGTTTTCTCTTTCGCATTTCATCTCGTAAATGTGTACTAAAGGTTTGTCAGTAAAACGAATTGTTCCTACAACGGAAAGGAAGTTTCCCAAAAACTTACTTAATAGATTTAATTGCAAGTATATTATGTTAATTTGTTCATGGTGCCAACTTGTTTAGTTTGTAAATACAAGATCGTATCACTTTTGCATACTGTTAGAATTTTAATTTGTACACCTAAATTTTTCAAAAATAAATACACACTCACTTAATCCCGTGTTATCATTAATATCAGAACCCTTGATGATGATGCATTGATTATTATCAGCGGATTCCATCATTTGCAGGACGGTTTCAGGACATTCCGTCAACGAGTTTTTGTCTGCGCACCTGTTTTGTCCAGTCGTTAACATTCACGCGTAAAATAACAGTGACTTGGTCCAAGCGTTATATTTTAGTCTGTACGTACAATTATATTGATGATGTCGGAATGAGAAAATTGAGAGGGAAGGAGGTGTTTGTTATGATGACTCATTTTTTAAATGAAATTTTACTTTCTTCCTTTGATTCATCTTTTCAAATTGTCATTGGACAGGATCTGGTCATATTTCTATCCTTAAAATTGTCGGTATACAATATACCTTTTTTTTTTAAAAAAAAGAAAATATTACTTCATTTTTAAAAAGTTTACATTTTACAAATATTTGTAAAACCTTTTCCAAGCGATGACAGCGATATTAATCTCAATGAGCCGTATAGGTGTGTCGAAAGAAGCTGTACAAAAATGAAAAAAGAGGGAAAAAATTAAGAAGCACGCAATCTTTGGTTTTGACCCAATTGTACATCGATCTTTTATAGTCAAATACGTCCAATGTCGACCGTTTCGTTGCGCTTACACCACGCAGTATAGCACAGTGAAAGCACAAAATATAAAAAAAAATTAAAAAGCTTTAGAAATCATTAAATTTGACACGGAGCCACCTTAATATTTACAAAACCACATTATACTTTCCCTTTAATACATATTTTTTTCCATCAATTTAAATGAGAATAATCCATGCAGAGTGTGCAAACATGTCAAAATCATGAGTTGAAAAACGCTGACTCCACGAGTTTGAATATTAGAGCCTAACACAGAGCGGTGCGGCGTGCTGTTGGCGCGAAACGCGCGTTGGCGCCTACAAACCCAACAGGGATACTTTACGCATTGCGTAATGCTTGAAGTATCCCCTTAGGTTTGTAGGCGCCAATGCGCGTTCCGCGCTAACATGCTCGCCGCGGCGCCCCAAGCTACTATATCTCAACAGAGGTGTTGCACAGAATCATACGAAATTGAAGGCGCTCCAACATATTAAAAATGACAGGCATCCTTTAAGATTACGGAGCTTTCCTTGTAAAATAAATCAAGATACTACGGCACAAAAGGAGAGCGGTAGCCCAAAAACTCACTAAGTCCTAGCGTCTATTTTTGATGACGTTTAGTATAATTTATGAATTACATTAGAGAAAAGAGTGATTCGATTCAGGCAGAAATATTCTTGAGTATGCCGTCAAGCAAAAGAGTTTATTTTAAATCAAGAATAAACTAGAGGAACGAAAGCGGGATGCTGCTTTCTCTTTTTATAAAAGCATATTTTCCTTTTTAAACAAGCATTATTTTCTTTATTGGTTCATCAGGAAATCTTCTTGGTGGTAAATTTGAGCATATTTCTGATCGAATCAAGTCACCGCTCTCATTTTGTCGTCATCACTCGATGCAATTTGCGTGGGAACTTCCTGCTTTTGAAAGATGCCATCAATCATGATACGATGGGGTGCCTTCAATCTCGTATGATACTGTGCGACACCTCTGTGGCGAAATGGTAGCTCGCAGCACCGCACGAAGTTATCGTACAATGGAAAAATCTAAAATTCTTTAGCTGAGGCAAAGCAAAGGGTTTATCCGCTTCAGGTATTACAAGAAAGGATTTTCTTAAAAAACAATAAGTCCTGTTGCACCAAAGAGGTGTAGAGAGTTTTAAAGAGTTTGTTCCTCGTGGAATTGACGCTCCCCATTTTCACCAAAATTCTCAATTATATATTTTTCTCAGTTGGACCAAAAAAATAATAATAATAAAAAAAACAAATAACAAGCAAACCTTCATTCTTCTAAGACTTTATAAATTTTCATTCAAAAGCGTCGTGAGCAATTGTCGCTTGTATTTACATGTGGACCAAGTAACTTTGGGTCTCAATTTGGTAAGTGGGCCAAAACTCCCCTCCCGAAAAAACGCAAGGACATAAACCACTTGAAAAGACAGGTGCGCGGACACAAAATCGTTGACGAAATGTCCTATAATCTGCAGGACAATCAGGCTTTGACAGGGGATGATTCAATGCAAGTATGGTGAAAACCCCCGTTCCGCTCCGTTTAAGTTTTAAAAGAGGTAGTTAAATTTCTCAAAACTAGATTATTATAAATACACTCTATGCTACAATTCCCTCTTTTTGAAGCCTTTCCATTAATATTTGGGGCGTTTTAGCAGAAAAAAGGCAACTCGCATAATCATTAAAGTGTATTCGCAGTTTTAAAATTGGAATTTTTCACTCTCTCAGGGTATTTTATTCCTGACGTGAGATTACGTTCAATTATCTAACTTTAAGGTTAAATTCCTCAAAATTAGATTATTTTAAGTTCACATTGTACGAAAAATTTACTTCTTATTATGAACTCTGTCCAGTTCCCGCCAAAACTAACATTAGAAGTGTCTGAAATGGCCTCATAAATACAGTTGCGAATAATTGCAAGGAAGCAATTACAGAATTTATTGACTTCCTTGCAAGATGTATGACTCCACGTTTTTCATGGAGAAACACTTTGTAAAAGTATATTTACTACCTCAGCTATCCCAGTCTTCCTTCGAAGATGAGTTCACTGGTCTTGAGGAAAGTGAAGATGAAATTGCCAAGTGACGGCAGCATTTTAACAAACTCGGCACTTAGATTTTTCAAACTAGTTTTTAAAAATATTGCCTTCAGTCTTCCTCGTTCAAGCTGGTATGTTTTCGTTATGGAAGAACTTCTGAATCTTTCCGGTCGCGAGTTTATACAAGGAATGAAAGTAGCTTGTGATATCCTAACCAGTTATCAACAATGACGCATGATGCGAGATGAATGATTTTAGCTCTCTGAAATTCTTAAAACTCAAATGCCATCATCTCTATTTCACAAAATGTGACGGGCAAAGAGTCAGATAAGATGTGCGTTAGGGTAGAAAAAAAATCAAATAACAAAGCACGTATCTAACATGGCATGTTTTTGAAGTTCAGTCGTGTAGTTTTGAAACGCCAGGGCAGTTGTGCTTTGGGTTCACTGAGGGTCATTGAAAGGGGATAATGTGTATAACCTTCAGCCAACGTAATAGATAGAGGGAGAGGAACTCATAAATCAGGGCAATATTGTGAACATTCACTGCACTTACAATTCAAATGTTACTGAATTGAGACACGCAATGGTTGCCAATAAAAAAGCATAATCTGATGGTTCTAATAAACAACTTTTCCAATCATCAAAGCAAGTAACAATGCCAAGTCTTAAAGTCTGAGCTTTCTTCAGTTCAGGTACGCATAGCTATAAAATAGGTTGTGCTATCATCACCACTGTATGCGTTTCATTTCTCTATCTATATTCCATAAATCTCGGTAAAATTTTACCTTCGTTCATTCCAGTTGTTTCTTCCTCCGCAAAAACTTGAAATAAAAGGCTCATACATGGTTCCTTTATTTCATTTCATGTTACACTGTTGCACTTCAATGGTGCGATAAGAAAAAGACGTAAGTATTGTCCACTTATAAAGCTCTAATTTTTTTAGAAAGTTTTACTTTTTTGATAAACTACGGATGATGGTCTCTGCATCAAATTTTGTCGGATTATATCACCCAATCGAAAATAATTTCTGAATATTTCGTGAGGACCACGCAAGAAATTCTTCCTTAGAAACATGAACATTAGCCGAGTTGTTGAAATACCACGATTGTGATGCGTATAGCCGTATGATAGTCTGCAGTTTCACTGCAAACATGCCTAAACTCAATGATCCTTCGAGATTCAAAACCTTGTGTGAGAGTGAGCAACAGCTCCGTCAGTAATAGAGCTATGAAATTTAATACTTTGGTTACTTATACGCGTCCCATCAAAATTACATTGCAGTAAAATAAACTGAGCGATTCTTGTGCTGAAGACAATTTTAACTCAGGCGCTCAACGCGCGAGAAACACAATTTCTACTCGCTCTCCTACTCCGGCGCCTCGCTATACATAACTCGCGCTTTCATAAGAAAGAATTTGCTTGGGTGGTGCTGCCGAAAATTTATATCATTCGTAGTTCGCGAGTTGGGCCCTCTTTCGTCTATAAAATAGTTACGATGCCGTCTATTTCTCCATCCACGCAACTCGCGAGAGAGAAAGTAGTCCGGGTTTTAGGGAAAAATCTGACACCCGCTGCCTCGGTTGATTGCAAAGATAGAGTTTCGGTTTATGGCTCTGGCTGTATGCATCATCAGTTTGAAGCGTGAGAGAATGCCGCTGAATTTCAGTAGCATTTGAAATCATCGAGTCACTGTAAAAAAAAAACACATTGGATCTAGAGTCCAGACTCTTATAAACATCGACAAGAAAAAGTACTCTTGATTCTATCAGAATTCAGCTGAAATCAAGAACCAAGCCTCTGAATTTAAGCAGATTTCATTTTGATTCAAGCAAAAATCCGATAGAATCAAGAGTATTTTTTCTTGTTAATGTTTTCAAGAGTCTGGACTCTTGATCCGATGTTTTTTTTTTTTTTTTTTTTTTTTTTTTTTTTTTTTTTTTTTTTTTTTTTTTTT